AAAAAAAAAAAAAAACAACTGATGCTCAGGATGACAACACGCTGCCAACACTCAAAGTAAGCCAACAAGAACCAACAAGTGTTTCTAAAAAAGAAGTGCAGAACCTGACCCCCCTCCTCCCCCCAAAAATAGCACAGTGACTTAAACTGAAGTGTTTTCAGAACTTTGGTGTTAAACTTAATACAAAATGATCAAGGTGGGATTATGAGTGAGGTGGTACACCAGGAGAAACTCTGAGGAAGCACAAACGAGACGCCTGTGCGAACACACTCGTCGCGTGACAGGACAGACGAGACCTGACTGAGGTTTCTTACCGACGACGGCAAGAGAGAGGGACTTTACAGATCTGAAAAGAAAAAAAAAAGCTGGATACGATGGGCAATACGCAACTTTTCAAACCAAATACTGACAAAAACGTAGGTAGAAAAATATCACAATGATACAAACGACATTTTCGGAGAAAGGTTTTCATTGGGAGGGTTGAGAAGAGTCGACCGTCTTATAAAAGGACATTGCACTGAAGCCGTCGTCATGTGCTGAACACTCACTACCAACACAAATGCTTATGAAGAAGACAGAAACTTTTTTTTTTCCAATGCGCCTGAAGGAGCAGCGGCCTTTCAAGAAAAAAAAAAAAAAAGGTTGGAAATTATGAAGTAGTGTAGGTGTTTCAAATGGAACACCACGACCCATAAACCAAGCAATAAAGCCAATAAGGTGAGTTGAATCCCTAGATGGCACCGCAGAGCTTTTCCCTCGCTTCGTTTTATTGTTTCCCACCTGAGCCACATACGCTCTACATACATGGCCGAGCAGTTCTCATACTCCAGAAGACAGTACTAAAGAGACAACGCTCAAACACGTAGAACGTAACCTTGGAATTAATGAAGAAACATTGCTTGGTGCCTCCACAGGCAGTAAGGCATCAATGCCGTGATGAGGTTCTTCACAGTCCTGTAGCAGTGGCCCGGTAGTGTTTGATTCAGAGCTGGACCCTAACATTTGGAGGGGCTGTGTGGACGAGCCAGGACTGAGCGTCCATCTGTAGGCTTGGAAGGCGTCCGTTTCACTTCCTTCTGCAACAAAAACCTGTCAGCTGTGGCGACGTGGTTAACTAGACGACGATGTTTGGCTGCTGTTACTGAGAAACACAGAGCGACATTCAAGTTGTTTCAGCACTCGAAAGCGTTTGAATTTGACTAAATTATACAGGTTTTGGATAAAATGGTGTGAAAATGAATATTTGAAGATTATTTCATTAACACTGAAAGTGACCGTGATAAGCGGACCAGCCTTCACTGATAACAAACCTCTACTGGCCAGCTTTGTCAAGTGCTCCAGACATTTCAACCAAACAGTTGGGATGGAAACTCCCTCCCTCCCCAAAAAAGGTTATTGCCATGGTAGCTGATGTTGCAGCATTCAGTTTGCTGGGCTCCTCTCAAACGTAGGCACTGAGGTGAACAGCAGTTTAAAAAAAAAAAGAAGTGTCTGCAAAGAAAAGCCACCCTCCACTTGTTTTTACATCAGCCTGTAAATCAGGAGGAGAGCAGTTCGATTCCAACACTGTCCAAACTCGATCCGACGCTAAACCAAAGATGAAGAAATAAAAACATGGCACTCCATCCCGTTTGCTGTAAGATCCCAGACCATTTGAAACAACAAAAAGGACACCTTTAGCCAGTTTTGGAGAAGGATCGTCCCCAAAAGGGTGAAGCTGCGCCGAAAAAAATTAAAAAGGAGAAAAAAATAAAAACAGGGCTAAAAGCTAGCCATCCGACAACAGACGAGCATCTCTGAACATTAAAAACATACAAATGAATTTGACATCTATTTGTCAAAAAGAATAAAACCTATAATGCTATACTTACTTACTAAAGGTTTAACAGTTTTAGCTCAACCCCTGGTAAAGATATGAAGCCTGTTAAAAAAATAATTTCCTTATTTGGCAAATAATAAAATGAGATAAAGGGGAGTAAATGTGACAGAGACAGAAAAAAAACAAAAAATAAACAAATGGCACAGTTTTATCAGAGCTTTCAGATCAAATTATCAAACACAAAGAACTACTGTACTTGCAGGTGGAGCGGGAAGTTCGCTCCTTCGCCTAAAACAAATGAACTATTTCTACGTATAATGAAAGCAGAAAGAAACAAAAGTCACATCTAAATAATGGCACAAGCATACTGAGAAAATAAAGAATACTATGAGACAGTTGCCCAGCGTTTTGATGATCAAAAAAAGTGGAGTAAAACTTTTTCATATAAAGATACTTCTGTGTCCACTTTAAAGCATATTGTGTGAAAAGACTGAAGTACTCTGGAAATATGCCATGTACAAAATATTTCCCCATATAAACAACATTCACACAAGGCACTTCATTCAGTAAGAAAAGAGAATCACAGTCCTTTCTACTACCAGAAACTGCCTGCATAGCAACAATATGAGGACAAAATCTTTTCAGCGTTTTGTGTTGTACCACAAAACAAGTCTCAGACAAAGAGATGTTTCCTTTTTTTTTTTTCTTTTTTGGTTTTAAAATAAGCACTTCACCGAATAGTAAAACTTTGTTGATTTGAAAATAAAGACCAGAGTTCATTCCTCTTAATATTTTGTCCCCGATATTATCAACTTAAGATGCTCTGTGCACTTTCTGGTGTGGGTTTTTTTTTTTTTGTGAGACACAGTGCTCCTGGGATATTAAGTATTTTTGTATTTTTGATGGCACTCAGAAGGCAGCCGGTCACCAGGAGATGAGAGCGGAGACGGGGTGACGTGAAGGTTTCCACAGTGAGACTCCAGGGCGTCCCGACGGGGCGCGGCGTGGGAGGATCTGCCTGAGTCTGAGAGATGCGGCGGTAGAAAGGGGCAGAGATCGGCAGAGATCGGCAGACAGGAGGATGGAGAGCACGGGCGGCGCTGCGCTGTGTCCTGCTACCTGCTTCTCAGATTTTGCAGCACTCCGTAAACCTCTTCTTCTTTGCTGAGTCCCTCAAAGAAAGGCAGCAGGTCCAGGAGTTCTGTGTCATTCATATCGTCAAACCAGGACTGGACTGGGACCTGAGGAGGCAGGCGAACCACCGCATAAGACCACAAAAACCAAACTGAAGGAATCCTAAATGACAGATCGCAGCTCTGAACTTACAGCATTTTCTGGATGGAAAATGTAGGAGGCGGGTGAATTGTCAACGATGATAACGTTGCTGAGCTCTCGCCCGAGTCGGCTGAGGTCTTTGACGTAGTTCCCTCTGTGAAAGACGCAGGATTCTCTGAAGAGTCGCGCTCGAAACACGCCCCACTGGTCCAGCAGGTCTGCCACAGGGTCTGCATACTGTCCAAGCAAAACACACAGAGAAACGTCACCCTGCCGTCGCTTGAACTTCACCGCAATCTACAACAACGCACAAATATGAATCAAGCAGGTTGTGAAGGCAAAAAGAAGCACTTATTTCTAATCACATGCTTCGACTACAAACAGCAACTAAATGCTATTATTCCAAAGGGGAAGCAAAGCATGTTGTCCTCCATCGTTGTGTTTGTTTATTGAGAATGATGCCTGAGGGACTACTACACTATGACACAACAAAGCACCACCAGCTCCTAACTTTCAACACTACAGCAGTGCTGGTCATGGAACACGGTTGTTTCTGTGTCTCGTTCATCAAACTTACCCATGCATTATTGGCTAAGGTACAAGTGAGACAGACGGAGAGCAAAGCAGAGGAAGTGTGAAAATTCAGGAAGCAAGAGCAGATGAAAGTTAATGAATAATCAAACATGGTTCAACGTGTGTCACTTGGTTTATAACCAAAACACAAGTCAGAATGGGAAAAAAAAGATGTCCAGAGCTGAACACACCTTGGCAAGGCTGGCTGTAAAGAGCACACATTCAAATAGCTCTCCCATCTTCTGAAGGAACTCGTCCACGTGGGGTCTTTTCAGCACATATACCTGCAAGACAGAGTACGGACATTAGGCCAGGTTTAAAAAACAAACAGACAACACACATATTCTGGCAGCCAAACACTGTTAGTAGAGCACCTGTGAGGAGCACAGCTAACTCCCACAGTGTCATTTACAGCAGTGATGTGATGGTACAACAGCATTTCACAAAATTGCTATAAAAGAATCCCTGATACTCGTTTCTTGCATTATCAGCTCGTCGACACCATCTCATTCAGTTTGGATCTCGCCAACTCTCTCTGTCCAGTGGCTGCCACCCAGGGCAAGTAATCATGAATAGGCCAACCAGGATACACACAGCCTATCCTGGATTACTTGAACTGGATAACAGCCATTCTCTTTAGGATCTTCTCATAGGAACAGGAATAATAATAAAAAAGGTTAACGTCACTAAAATTATCTTTTTTATGAGTTGTGTACAATACCTGATGAACGGTACCATCGATCTCCACTGGGACAATGAAATCAGCGTTACTGATGGGCTGTGAGGGAAAAAAACAGTGGTGTCATTTAAACTGTTGGTGTAGTAGCTCCGCTGACCAGCAGAGGTCTCACTAGTAAAACTAAAACTCAGTTCACAGATTGTCAAATCTCCTACAGGAAGAAGAAAATAATGCATCTAAATTTTCTTTCTTTTTTTTTTTTTTGCCCAAACAGCCCCTCCTTGTTTCCCTCCTTCTGTAACCTCTGTAGTATTTAACACAACATACAATGAAGTGGTCGTCCTTAGACAGAGCTGGACCAACAGAGGTCGAGTTGAGGTTAAAAACTGAGAAACAGAACTAGCTCCGGACACAAGATATTCTGCTGTAACTGCTGCCCTTTGACAAACTTTTTACACATGATGATGCTTGTTTAAAGCCAGAGCAGATGCTGTGCTAACATCAGCCTCGTATGTACGCTGCCTTTCCTGTTACAATCCTGCACTTGTTGTAAAGGCGCAATCAGTTCTGTGATATTGCCCTTGTTTTTACTACAGCACATCCTCCACCACCTGCTCCTCTCGTTGCTTTGTTTACACAGTGGTCTAATGGATTCAACACAGCTTTGCCTTCCTGCATATCACTGGCTGAGCTTTGGATAAAAAGACAAAGGTAAAGGTAATGATAGAATATTTTTTACTCTCACTGCAAAGCTTACTATGGTTTATGGTAAATGCACAAGGATAATCCACTTGCTTTTAGTTACACTGAGTAATCAAAACTAGGACTTTCAAGGCACTGATGATTACATCATTCAAACAGGAAAAGCACTATCTGCTCACTTCCACTGACAGGTGACAACTGCATGAGTGCAAGGAACATCAATAGTAAAACTTTGGCCTCTTCTCACCTTAAATGAGCTGTGGACGAGCGTTTCATCCAAGTCAATTACCACACACTTTTTGCCATAGTCAGATATTTTCATCTCTGGTAGGAGGTATTTGGCTGGTGGCTGTGGGGAGGATGAGGCAGATAACGTCAGATATACTGATGGAAAGTGAAAGTTTATGAGAGAGGACAGGCAGAGACAAAGAGAAAGACACAGGGCAAATACTTTGCATAAAATAATGTCTAAGGCCGAGCAAAAAGAAAAAAAAAAAAAAGCCAAAACCATGTTAGGAAGAAGCATTTTCAGGGAACAATGAAACTGAAACTAAGTCAGAATCATGTGTTTAATGGGCCCAAACTTCAAAACGAAACCCTCGAAAATTCTTCATCAGTGGATTGCGACAGCCCACGACTCGAGAAAGTAATGCTTCCTTAAAACCACTTAGATTCTTGTCAGATCTGTGTAGATTAAATGAAACTTCACACATTCTTGCAGAGACAGGCCATGCAAAGGTTAGCTGCTGCTGCTGCTGTAACGCAGACTTACTTTCAATGTGAATACTCAAATGTAAACCTGCTGAGTTTGAAAATGTATGTGTGAATTTTGAAGCGAAAACTGACGTGGAAATTATGCTTCAGTGCAGTGATATATGAACACTGGATGGATTTGAAGAGTTAAGCTCCATAGAGGCTCTGATGGGTGATCTGACTGACTTGTCGAGGCCACAGGTGAACAGATCACACCTACTGCTTTCCTTGAGTGACGGGATTAGTTAGTTTCCCCCCTTAGTTGAGGATGCAAACCAAAACACCAGGAGCTAGCGAGGAGTTTAATTCTTACTCTCAACATTATTGTAAGTAACACAATAAAGGGATTTACTTCTTGCATGGAAGCTCCTGATGTGATTAATAGAACCACGTAAAATGTTAGACAGTTAGTGTCACAGTATTTTTGAATGCATACCAACCACCAAGTGTCACTCAAGCAGATCAAGCACTGAGACATCATTTAAACCCATAGGTGCACATACACCTTCCACACAGCCAGTGCTATGATCGGCTGAAAATGAACCGCAGTACAGTAGCAGAGCTTGAGCTCTCTGAGGAGCGCTGGAACCCACACAGACAGGATGTGCCAGCACCAGCCCACTCAGCCTGCATGCAAAGGAAAAGAAAAAAAGGCAATACATACACTAGGGACAGGGATGACCTCGACCTGGTCACACTACAACACAAGAGAGATAGACACGCACATACAAAAACAGGGTGAGGGGTAGGAAGGAAAACAAAAACAGAGAAAAACAAAGGGTCCACAGAGATAAAACAAAGAGAAAACACTATTCACACAAATAGACAGTTTTCAACAGATGAAAAAAAACACTTGCAGACTAATATTTCTGGAGTCCAAAACAGGACAATCAGCATGTGTTTAGCGGAGCATCTGCTTACCTTGGGAGGTGATCCATTCTCCTCAACAGGTGGAGGCAGGGAGCTGGTGTTGGTGTTGGCGGCTGGCGGCTCTACATTGTAGTTGCGGAAGCAGCAGAAGAATGTGCTGAAGATGCTCCGGCTCCTCTGCTTCTTTAGGCTGCTGTTTGACTGGGATGCTGTCAAAATAACAGGAGGGGGTGGAAGAACGGGAGGGTGAACAAGTGGATATGCAAATTGATGTTCTGTCATAAAAAAAAGAAAAAAAACACAGCAGGCTGAAAGCTGGGAAGAATTTACATTTGGTTATTTGCATGCCAAGGTGTGAATGTTGCCTGAATAACTGGGAACAAACTGTTATGTGTTCATCACAATTTTCCTAAGTGACCACAGTGGTGTGAGCTACACTGAATCATAACAATAGGTAAGACCTTGACAGTGTGATTAAATGGCATTAGCGTTGGTTTTGTTGACTGGCCCTGGCAGAACCACTGATCAGAAAATAACTTGGCTAGCCGGGTGACTTCATCAGTCACACACAGTGACAGTTCAGAGCATGCTCTGCTCCGATTGCAAATCGCCTCTCATACCAGGACTACGAAGCAGGGCCTAAATCAGACACTGAGCTTTTATTAATAGTGACAAGTTGGAAGCTGCATGCTCCTCCCTCCTCCTTTTTTTCACTGTTGTGGCTCCCGTCACCTGATTGGCCTAGGAGCCTCCATTTTGAAAGCTTGCTTACATTTCCCTCCCACGTTACAGCTGGCAGGTGAGTGACTGAAGCAGCCTGGACATGCACAAGAGAGGAGGAGGAGAGAGAGGAGGTGGGAGGCCCTCAGACCCCACAGAGCCTATACAAGGCTGCATTCCTCTCCACCCATTAGTCCCCCTGCGCCACCCCACCAGAATGCTTTTGCAACTGAAGCCCAGTGAAGAGCAAATAGCATTATGTCATGTCTTTTGGCATCTTGATATTGTGCCATTTAATAGTCCTGACCTTAGACAAATATCCATTAAAGATTTGTCATAGGAAACACTGCGCCGAAAGAAAATAAACTAGTACTCGACTAACTTTAGACAAGTATCTGAATTACTGTTACACTACTAAAGCTTTGTCAAACATTTTTCACTTATACTCACAATAACAAGCCAGAGTCTCTTATCATTAAAGGGCAGAAGGTGGAGTTGCCACACAATTACAAGGTTAATCCAGTTCTATATCTTTCAGTTAAAAAATATCCAGCCGCAGCATCACAGCAGATGTATCCGACACTGACAGACTAGCAGCATATCACAGCTACATGAAGTGCTTTCTGCACTCCCCAATCTGTCTTTTCCCTCCATCACTGACTTCCAGTAACGTTAATTACAGCCTTTCAAGCAAGGGCACGCTGTGCTGGGTATTTAGGCTATATCTTATCAGTGGCAAACGCTCCTTCACTCTGAGACGAGTTAAGTACTGTATGCATCCATCAACAAGGAAATAACATTAAAATATTTGGTGACTATTCTGAGCAACTTAAAGCAGAAGCACAGGAAAGTCCTGATACTACCAAATACTTCTAGAATATAAATAGGCCAAACATTGAAACAATCCACTGGAAAATACCAAACATTTACTCAACACTACAACAACCACCAAAGCAATAAACTGGTTTTGACATTAGTTTGAAAAATAACCAGCATAAAATGACAGAATTCTTTCTTACAGGACTTCTAAAATAACCTTAAAAGCACATTAATATCTATAAATACACGTGTTTTCTGTGTTGTCCTTGCTTTAGTTAGAGCACAACCCTGCAAGATAATCATACTGGTCCTATGAAGCTTTGTTCACATCTAAAAATAACCCAATCAGCACCACACCACTTCTGTGTCTTTATTAAACTGGACTTTGTCTTTAGCTCTGTATTAACTCTGCTCTGCAAAACTAGGACAGTGAGGCAGCTTCCTGTGACTCATCACTACAACCAGTTGCAGTATTGATTCCAGCACAAAGACCCTCAGAAATTTCCCAGGATGACTGAATCATACACTGTGCAGGACTGGCTCTCAAATACATCACGCACCTGGGGTGAATGGAAGGTTGTAATTCAATATTGAGAAGGTGAATTCTCTCAAACTAATAACTCAGAGTTTACTTTTATCTCATCCTTCTCAAAACCCATTCCCCAAAAATAATAACGGTTTGCTGGGAAAATATTCTCTGTGTTGTTCTAATTGGTCTGATGCCTTTCAGAACGTCCAGCTCTGGGCTGTACAGCTGTATGAACACAGCATCACTCATTAATCAGTACGTGTGACAACAGCTTTCAGCAAGAAAAGTGTCCCAAGAATCAGTCACCAGCCTCTAGCTGAGGAGTGCATGTTGTGTTCCAGACTCCAGGGTGGGTTTCGTTTGTTGACACATCATATAACTCAGGCTAAGGGTTAGTCCAGCACACTGAGAAGCTTCATCACACCTACAGTACCTGCTGTAAGCAGTGCAGTGCAATCTCAAAGCTTTTTGTTTGTTCTAGGTGATGCACCGAGCAGCAGTCGACTAGAACTCTTTCACTCGACTCATTTTCTACAGTCTGAATTTGTAGTATATACCCTCATTGGTGAAGTTTAGTTAGATTCTTCTGCAGGAAAAAAAAAACAACTAAGTAAATCTACAAATGTTGAAGGAAAGCCTCCCATCAACATTCAGAACACATATCTCTGTTTTACTGAGAAAAGCTGTGTGAATAAATGAAAATAACGGCATTGGACCAAAGGATGTTCTAAGAAAGAGTCACATTGATGGCAAGGAAAGGTTTGGTATCTTAAAAAGTCATACATCTAGAAGAACATAATCTACAGACTATGCAGGAAACAGTTGTTTCCAGAGATGACAATACAAGCAACTGCCTTTCATGAATCCCAAAACACTACATGTTCCCAAGTTTGGGGAAGATTTGCAAATGCAATTATGGCTGCAGCACACACTCAGACCTCCATGAATGAGTCTCCACATCTAATGTAAAGCTATAATAACTTTTAAAGCCAACACATGCAAAAGGCTTGTCAAACCCCCTAAACTCCAAAAAAAGAGTTGAACATGCTGTTGTTCCAAAAGCGGTTGTTCTGATCAAATTCCTTCACCAAAAACAATGAACAATTATTAAAAACTTGGAGATTGATGGTAAACAATATGCAAAAATAAGTTAATTTAAGACAATAAATTAAAGTCTTTATTATTAAAACATGAAATGTGAGAAATATTTTTCTTATTTCAAATCTTTTTTTTCGCTATTATTTTATTTTTAATGTTTTTATGCTAGTTTCCTTTCTTTTTAAACACTTTAATGCACTATTTAAAGCTTCAAGGATCAAGGAACTTATTCGAGTCATATTTGTGGAGTAGGTTTCATGTCTAAAGATGTCTAATGTGTTAAGGACGTGGTAAATTTGCTGACAGGAAACCCCACGAGGTGAGCTAAAACAACTAGTTGAAATCTGACAAAACATCTTCATTGCTCACTGAAATGCCACCACACACATACGACTATACCAGAGTATCTATGAAAAAGAATGGATCAGGTAAGAGGCCTCCATCCATTTCACAGATGCATCAATTAAAGAAGAGCCCAACACAACCAACCTCAGCAGAGTGGTGACTTTACATAGCTCACCCTTCAAAATCCCAACAAAACGCACCGAGATCACTGCCTGTATTTTCTTTAATTCTGTGTTGTTTTTACTAAACTAAGTCGAGAATGTCTGCGAGAATCAAGAAAATGATCATTGTCATCTTTGCAAGTGGTTATACTTGGCCCCGAGGTCAGCGGTGCCCCGGCCAACAGGGCAGTCAGTCTATATATAGGCTAGCAGAGCGAAAGGCAGGCACATGTTGTAAGACAGCCAGTAGAAGAACACTAAGAGCAAAGGTGGTCAATTTTTGTCCAGACAGTCTGGAGCCTGTTCAAGCAATGGTAGACTACCTATTAAATTCCTCCAGAACAGCTGGTGGGATGGGCTATCATGTTAAGTGATTTACAATTGATAAGGGACAGTGAAATCATTGACTGACGACGTATTACAGTCAAAGAAAAAAAGCTAAGAAGCCTTGCACATAATCTGACTGAGTAGAATTATAATAACTGTGAGATTTAAAAAAAAAAAAGATGCTTGTCTTGTCTTTACAAATTCATGTGTGTGAATCTGCTTTGTATGTGTGTGCATCACTACAATCTTCACACTAAATTTTAAAATGTCGAAAACAAATGGGAGAGAAGGCCTTGGCCATACAGTTTCTATTACGATGGTAATATCTGACTTTGCCCCGAGGAAAGAATTCTGTATGAGTCATTCTTAAAAGAAAATAGAAGAGGTAGGAAACATACTCAGCATCAAGGCTCTACTTTGACCTGTAATTCAATTGTGTCCAGCTTGTCATATTCTCTTACTCAGGCCAACATTAGGTGTTATTTTTTATAGAAATCAAGTGAAAAGCAGCGAATTTCCACTGTGATAGTGTGGGTTTTCCTACGTAAAGTCCTGTGCTGGTAAACTCTTTGAGATCACATTAAACACTGCACACAGTGCAGTAAAGTGTTTGACTTCCCAAACAGACCTATGGTAGTCATCATACAGTCAATACTTTATCAATAACACATCCTGACGCTACACAACACATTCTCAGACAACAAAACATGCATTTTACGACACGCTTGCTAAATAAAAATATCAACGAATAAGTCTTTCAATTAACAACAGAGACTATAAATAAGGAGAAATACACATCACTGCCCCAAATGATGACTCTCTTTTAAACTATTTGCTTATATTCTCCAATCAAAAGCCAAAAATACATTCACAAAAAACTCGTGGAAAGAAACAAATTCTGCTTTTGTAACGTCACAGCTCACACTGTCTGGCATTTATAGTGGAAAAAAACCATTCGTACATTTAATTTTAACCATTAGCAGATGAACTTTCCTACTTACTAACCACTTAACTGACGAATCATTTAAGCAGCAGTACTCATACTCAGTCACCCTACATGACTTTTTTTTCCCCCCAGTGCAGTAACACAACCTCCAAGAACCAAATTGCTCCTCATCCAATGCAAATAACTCCTTAATAACACCGTCTGATGTCTTTCCAGCGAAAACAACTGTGCCTTGATGATATTTCTGAGATATAACATGAAGCTATTTTTAAACTGCTTATCACTGTGGTGGCGTCTGCCCACTTCTACTGCCATATATTCATATTGTCTAGGTCACCCTCCACCTGCAGCGATAATCCCCCCTCAAACTCCCACATACCTGCGATGATAATCCCCCATGACGCTCCCATATTCAAGTCACATAGGATCCATAGTAAGTTACTGAGGGATACCTTTGTGCCCTCAGAGGAAAAAGCATTGTTGTGCTTGAAAGACTTAAGCTCTCACATTACTGATGGTCTGAAAAGTGAGGTTTGAGATGTGATACTGATCTGATACACACCCCGTGGACCAGGGTGACCCGGAAAGCGAGGATGAATGGATATCAGTAGATCTGGACTTAAAGCGAAGATGTGATAAGATCATGTTGAAGTCAGATTGGAGATATCAAAATGAGGGTTGTATTTGAGATCATTAGGACATTTTCCTACTCATAAAACTGAAAAATCACCATGTTAACTATTCGCCAGTTTACTAGATAATAGACAAAACAGGCAATATGTACAATAATTAGAGATCAGACAGCTTCACCCTTTAAAGGCACATAGCAATGTTGATCTGTGCATCTGACAGGATGATCAAAGTGTTTGCAACGAAGAAAAAACGCTGTATTAACTTCTACCTAACATTACTGACAGCAGACAATTCTCCTCTGTCCTTATACTGAAGAAATCTGCCCTTTGGACCAAACCACCGTGAACTTTTTAGCTTCTTGCGGTTGTGATTCATGCAGTGACTCACCTGTCAAACCATTAGGTCCACTTTACTAGTCTAAACACAAAAGGAAAAGTGCACAATGCAAATATTTGGAGGCAAATTTTCGGTGTGTTTGGTCCTTCATCGGCGTGGACAGCCACTTACTGCTTGTCAAGTGTGTTAATGTTAATTTATGTTACAGCCACACTGCAGCGCTCTCCACACTGAACACGCAGCAAACAAACGTTGGGCTAGTTGGGTAACTTGTTCGGGACAAGGCCCCTCTCATGAACTTGTTGCGTGCTAGATTTTTTTTTAACCAGCACAAGTTGGGTAGGCATGTTTTGATAGGTGTCACACACAGGCAACCAGTGTCCTCAACTACTACCACAGCTAGCAAGCGCGAATAAAAGCTAACGTCAATTCAGAAAAGTAGTTAGCCAGCTAGCATTAGTTCTCTGCCGTTAATTGACTTTTTCTTACCTTTTTCCTGGTTAAAGGATATTATTTCCTCCTCCTTAGGGTTGGAAACTTGGGTTATTATGGACATGTGGTCCATTTAGACGAGTGGATATTCCTGTTTTGTTTCCCACAATGTTATTCGTACTAGCGCGCTTGCTTCGTTTGCTAGCTACCGTTAGCTAGCCGTCTAACATGAGCAGCTAGCCCACAAAGCCAGGAAACGATCCGAGGCGAAGTGTTGTGGCAGCGGTGGTAGCCAGCCAGCTAGCACGGTGGTGAAGGGAAGCCAGTGACTGGCTGTCATTTATGGCTTTCCGCAAAATATCATCGCTACAAACAAGTCTGTTTGTGGGCAAAAAACCGACAGCGTGCGTGGCTAAAAAACAAACAAACAATAAAAAATAAAAATAAAAAGCGACGTTGAATTGCTAACTAAGTGAAGTTAGCAGGTAGCTCGGGTTAGCGAGTTAGCCGTGAAGCTCGGATCATCCAAAAAAAAAATGTGAGGCCGTGTCTGGAACAGCGCTGAAAACACTAGGAAGCCCGTCGGATGATTGTTCTCGTCCATAAACGTGCAGCAAGTAGTTTAGCGGTAAAGTTGGCGGACACTTTGAGGCGAACGGCTCATATCCAGTGGCCCTTCATTCCCTGTGCAACATGGAGGCTTCATGTATTTTGAGTTGCATCTGAAGCGGGGGCACTCGGAGTGGGAGGGGGCGGTTTGTTTCTCTGATGGATTCTCTCAGGCAGGCAGCACAAACTCGCCGCACTACATTGCTCAACCCATGCAGCTGGCTGGACGCGGCTTTCTCGAGCTTCCTCTGCTCTGTAATTACTGCTGGCGGCACGCAGCTCTTTATTATTAGCATTAAAACGCATCCGAACAGAGCGCGCGCGGTGTAGCTGTACGAGCCGAAGCCCAGCGAAGGATTTAAGCCGCTGCCTGGCGAACAACAGCCCGTTGAACAGACCAGGCGAATACTTGATGCTTATCCAAAAGCCCTCCGTGTGTTTTCATTACCATGTTAGAGTTTTTTTTTTT